TTACTTCTCAGCAGGCTCCAGCAGGGTAGGGAAGGAGCCAATCTGTGAGGGAGCAAACACGAGATCTCCCATAATAGCATAGAGAAGACAGAAAATTGCTGCCAAAAGTGTAAATTGCTTTTTTGCTTGGGGAAAAAAATAATCTGGGCTTCAAAGACACCTTGCTACAAGATGACGCTACAGTAGTTAATATTCATGTTTTACATATTAGACTTCGGGTCTACCACACCCTCTGAGAATCCTTGCCAGCTATATCACTGTGTATCATGGATCTGAGGGGTGAGCTACCACATGGAGAGTAACAGGCAACTATTCTTCGAAGTTAAACAAAGGTTTGCTTGGCTCTCCAGAGTACCCTTTTGCTACTGATGCTCAGAGGATACTCTCTGAGGATTAAATAATGAGATATCCCTGGATAATCACAATAGCTAATGAGAGGAAAAATCACTTGCAGAAAACAGGCCACTACAATTCAATGTCAAAGGTTACATGAAACAGACCAAAGTGTTCCTCTGAGGACTGTGTGTGAATTTTCTTGACCTTCATAGAGGGTCAAAGACAGAAGTATGCTGGCCTTCTGGAAACAGTCCAAATGGCCATTGAAGCATGAGCCCTGAAAACAGATTTGATTCAAGTCCTAGTTCTGCTATTTACTACTAGCCTTGTGATCTGGAAGAAATTAATCTCTAAGCATCTATTAGTACTTCCTCATTTGACAAATGGGGTAACTACATCATAAGCTTTACATGAACCGAGAAAATACAGAAAACACTCTGGACATAATATTCAATAAATGGTAGCTATGATTACTGTTAGTTACCAGGACAACTGTAGGGTAAAACTTGGCAAATAAAAGCATGAACAAAAGCACAATATCATATCAAACAGCTTGAAGAGTCAAAACTGAAGAGGAAAGAAGGCAGGGAGACTCCAGCTGATAGAAAGGAAGGAAGGTCTAGCAAAGACAAGTGTTTCCATAGGACACGAATTTCTTTTGTTCCTTCCACTGTGGAGGTTGACTGAAATCTATTTTTCCCTCAGCTTCTGTGCAGTCAGTCAAGTGGGTATATGTAAAGAACTCCAGTAAAGCAGACAAAGGCATAACAATCCAAGTAGAGTTGGAACTCTGGGTTTCCATATTCATTTCCTATACATTCTTTGTGCAGGGAGACCTGCATTTCCTTCCTGCCTCCTTTATACCCTCTTTTAATCTGTCAGCAATACAGGAACCTTCGGAACAAAATTCTTTTTGGCGTGCTGAAATGATAGAAGTGCGTATCATAAATGAGAGAAATTTCAGATCAAAGACAATCTGCCTTGAAGTGTTAATTAGAAAAGATTGAGCCAAATGGCAGCTCAACACAAATAAGCTGAATGGAATCAACAAGTACGAATTCAAAGGTTAAGAAAAAATTTAACTCCTCTCCCTTTTTTTTTTTTTTTTTTTTTGCCAAATTAGAACATGCCCTCAAGTGCATATAATACCAAAAAAGGGTTTGTCAAGTCTCAGTCCAAAAGAATTGCACTGACATCTGTGGCAGCCTAGCTTAAGGTAACCGTCTTGACATCTTAGTTGCTAGTAAAGAAATGTCTTGTCACTGCCTTGTCAAAATGACACGAAGGTATCTGCAGCTAAACTCGAAAGGTAGTCTCTCATACCAAACAGTATCTCTGAAAGGAGTTAATTTCTTTGTACATTCTTAAAATTTTTTTCATCAAGTTGACTCAGGAATGTGGCTATGACAAAATGGAAGTGTTTGGACCTATCAAGCTCTATCAAGACAGAAAAACCATTTCTATGGTATCTTCTTATTCTGCTAATCTCCTTTATCTTATTGTGGGCCATGTTTTATCTATCCTGGACTTAAAGGAGTTAGAGAATAGAAAGGGTGAAGCACCATGGAAAATTTGGTGCCAAACCAAACACTTGTGCAAAATGGTGAAAATATGGTCAATAATTAGAGAAGGCACTGACTCAGGCTCTCATCATAAGTCTAGTGCTATGGCTTGAGCATGATCCTTTCTTGAAAGGTTCATGTACTGAACACTTGGTTCCCAGTGTGGCCATATCCAGATGTAATGCATCTTTTCAAGGGTGAGACCTAGAGGAATGTGACTAGGTTATTGCGGCACTACCCTGGGAAGAAATTAATTAGAACCTATTGAGCTAGATTAGTTCTAAGGAAATGGGAGCCTGACACTTCCCCTGGGCCTTTCGTTTTCCTGTGTTCAAGCCAGTTGATGCCATCTACCATGAGGTTCTCATCAGAGCCAATCAGATAGTGGTGCCAGGGCCTTGAACCTTCAGAACTGCAAGCTCAATAAACTTCTTTATAAGTACCTAGCCTCATGAATTTTATGACAGAAAACAAAACAATGACACCTAGTTTCTTAGGCTCTTGATCGCCTTTAACTCATTTTCCACTCTGTAGGCAGAAGAGACTTCTGAAATGTAAACTTGCTCAGGTTAATTCTTAAAAGTTCTTCACGTTTTATTCTTTTTTTGAGAAAGAGCCTCAATATGCCCAAGATGACAAAGCTAGCCTCAAACTCTTAATATTTCTGCCTCTAACTCCTGAGTGCTGGGATTACAGGCCTGCAGTTTAAAATTCTTTAATGGTTTCCCACTGACTTCATGATAGAGCTCAAATACTATAAATCTGGAGCCTTTACATAAGAATTTTTCCTTTCCCTACAACAACTAGTCCTGCTCCTCCTTTGCCTGTCTTCTTGTTTTTCAGACTTCTCTTCATACATAATCTTTCCTGGTAGGCTTCCCTTTATCCTTCAAGACTATCTCAGGAGTCCCTTCCAAGCAGCCTGGACTTCCCTTATCATAGCACTTCCCCCATGGTATTGTTTTATATGTTCACCTCTACCTCTAGACTCCAGCTGCACAAAGGTGGAGGCTATGTCTGCCTGAGTCATTATAATATACCCAGTGTGTAGCACAGTGCCTAACATATACTGCAGGGTCATAAGTAATTTTTAATGTTTATTTTTTATTTTTATAAATAAATGTGTGTGCATTCATAAGTTTATGTGCACCACGTGCATGTGGCAGCCTACAGAGGTCAGAAGAAGACATCAGATCCCCTGGAACTGGAGTTGTAGAAGGTTATAAGCTGCCACATGGGTACTGGGAACTGAATTCAGGTCCTCTGCCAAGAGTAGTATGTGCTCTTAACCACTGTGCTACCTCTCCATCCTCCACAACACATTTTAAAGAGATAAAAGGATGAGAAGGAGCTAGGGAAGGAGAAAACCATGAAATGAAAAGAGCCTGCTCCTGAAAATGGCAGAAGGTGGAATTTGAAGGGATTCCCTGAGATTGTGCCGGTTTAAAGCAGGATGTCTATGGCTTTAGTCACAGCAGATCAGGAGCTCGATAGGTTCTTGCAGTTCTAAAGTGGACACTGAGAAGCACAGTTCCCAAGAGAGGGAAGCACCAAGAGATGCAGATATGGGCTGTCACTTGGAACATCTTAAGAAAGGGGTTCAACAGTGCCTGGAATGGACTACCTCTTAGAGTTGTTGGCCAATGAAGTCCCCATAGACCCCCAAAACACATTCTACGCATGTATGAAATTCTCCAACAATAAATAAATAAATAAATGAAGGAAGGAAGGAAGGAAGGAAGGAAGGAAGGAAGGAAGGAAGGAAGGAAGGAAGGTAGGTTGGTTAGTAGAAGATGTGGGCAGATGTGGTAGTTGGTATTAGCTGTCAACTGGACAGGATCTAGAATCACATAGAAAATAGGTCTCTAGGCACATCTGGGAGGGAACATCTACCATAGGCTGGCCTCTGGCATGTCTATGGGGGATTATCTTCATTAGGTTAATTGAGGTGGGAAGGCCTGCCCACTGCGGGTAGCACCACTCCCTCAGCTGGGGATCTTGGACTATATAAAAAGGAGAAAGTGGAATGAGCAATACATATTCATTGCTCTCTTCTTCCTGACTGCAAATGTAATGTGACCAGCTGCTTCAAGTTCCTGCTGCCTTGACTCTCCAGCACTATGAACTGTATCTTGAACTATAAGCCAAAACAAATCCTTTCTTCCTTAAGTTTCTTTTGTCAGGATATCAGGATATTTTTATCACAGCAACAGGGGGAAAAAACAGACAGGAGGAAAAGAACTATATTTGTTAGTCTGAAATAAAATCAGAGTCAAATGCTGACTCCACAGGAAATCTTGGGCAATTCATTTAGCTTCTTTTAAGGACTTGAACTAGATTAGTGATTTTCACACTGAATTCTACTTAGAGTTCATTTGGAAATACGGTACTTGTAAAAATAAAATTTGAATAACAGAGGCCCAGGTAACCTTTCAAACATCTCCCTGTCTTAACTCCTTGAGCCTATGTCCAGAGCCTGTCTGGACATTACAGTTTGCTTGATACAAATACCCCTCGATGGTGCTGATGGCATACCAATAGGAAAGATGAGTAAATGGAAGTTCAAGTTTACTACACAAGGCTGAGGCAATAATAAAATGCCCTTTTAAATTTCTTCCAACTGCTGATACAGAAGAGTGCAAAGATATCTCCCTGCCCCCAACAATGTTTTGTATATCCCTGACTTTGTATTCATTGTGACATTATAGGTCAGAAATAAAGAATACTAGGTCTACAGCACATTTTCAGAATCCAATTTTTATTTTAAAAGAACACTGCAGAAGTTTAGTAGGTCTACCTGATAACCTAATTACCATTCTTATGCAGTGCCTGATCTTCTTAACAAGATATTCTGAATGTTCTAAAGAATAAGTAAAATCACTGTCACGATAACTTTAGTCTACATTTATCTGAAGGTTACAGACAGGAGATAACACAGATGGGGAAAAAGATGGGAGTCTTACAAAATAAAGGTCCTTAAAACCCTGGCTTAAGGTAAAGAGATTCCTTTTCTGTACTGTTCCTTGCTTGTCTGTATTTCATGGGGCATTAAAATGTCACTCAATTTCTGAGAATAGACAAGCAGCAATATTGTAATCTTACCTGGGTCCTTCCTCTTCACCCTGAAAAACAAAGAAGAAACAGACTCAGAAATCATTCTGGTAAAAATTGATTTAGATTTCTTTCATTTCCCTCTCTGTACCCAACCCGAAAGTAAGGACTGTGCAGTTACTGTAACAAAGACAAACCCGAAGATGTCTAAGGGCTAAGACAAAGACTAACATAATGTTCAATGCTATCCTATGTTCAAACTGCCAGCAGAGATGAACTGATAATTTGCCATTGCAAGGAAAGAGGTGAACGCACAGACCTAGGAGGTCTAAATAATAGCCTTGCCTTCTTATTTCTATGGCTAGTAGCATCTAGTTCTGAGCAAACGGAGAGCCCCAAAATAGCAGCAGGTCTTAGGCAAAGCTGACCAGCTCCAAAAGCATCAAGCTGTTTCCTTCAAAATTCCATTTCTGCTTTGGTCTAGGACTTTTTCTCCAAATATGAACATAGCAACTCTAATATATAACAGATTAAGGTGGAAAAGGTTCAGAACTAGGACTCAGGAAACAGGAACTCTAGTCTAAGCTCTGATGCTTATGAAGTTATGTACCATTGGGGCAAACTGATTAGTTAATATGGACCTTGGTTTTCTCCTCTGTAAATGGGTCCTTTGGGCATTTGGTGATATACATTTCATTTGTTATCCAATGATTTGTCTTTTTCTTATTCATTCAGAAAATTGGTGTGTATGATTTCTCCAGCTATTTCATGCTCTCAACCTAACTTTATGACTAACAATCACCACAGATTCTTTGGAGCCTCCCTCTCAGGCCAAATCAGAGCTTTCATGGGGCTTGAAAGACCTCCCTCATCTTTCTGATGACAGAATATCCTTCATATCTTCCTCTTCAATCACTTAGGGTTGACCATAATAGAGAACGTAATCTTCTGGTTGTATTCCCCAGAGAATCAATGAATGAATGATTCCTACTAGTATAAAGGGCAATGAGCTGAAGCCAGATATTTGGGGTTCAAATCTTGGCTCCATCACTTCCTTGTTATGATACTCTAGTCAAGCTATTCTACCTCTTGGAACTTCAATCTCCTAAATTATAAAACGTGATAACTGTCTCTATAGCACAGGATTGATATGCACGATTAAATAATGGTTATAATCACAGGCACAGTGCCTAAGACACAGGATACAGTTAATAAAGGTTATTTGTTAATATCAGTAGCAATTCAACATGACTCAATAAAGAAGTTATTATATGTAACTGCTAAGGATAAAAGATAACCCATAATTATGTAACCTTCTAAACACTTCCAATCAGGAGCTGGGGAAACAGGCAGATAGAAAATAAGCAGGTTATGAGCTCTACCAAAGGCTTAAACAGAATGCCCTAAATGTTACAAGGAAAAACTACACAGAGAAGGTGACATAAACATTGACACTTGAAGGATAAACAGGATTTTCCTAGGCTGACGATAATAGATACAGATACAGATAAATAGACAGACAGACAGACAGACGAATCTGGGTTCTCTGGCACTAAAAAAATGGGGCCACACCTCTATGTTTTGAGCAGGGGATATGAGAGTGGAACTGAGGGCAGTTATGGGGTTAAGAGCACAAGTGGAATAAAGACAGATTTCAGAGTGCAGGCCTATAAAGGAAACTCCAGCTAGAGAAGTCATTTAATTATTGTATGCACTGGAGGTTGAATAGAAGGGCATTTTAGATGATGATTAAGAATTTGTGATAGTGTAAGGGCACTCATCATTCATAATACTATGAGAGAGAAGAGGTGCAGGTAGTACAAGAATGATATAGGGATCATAGAAGCTTTCTCTGCATTTTGATCAAGTGATACGTCTCATGAGTACTATAAGATAGCAAGAAAAATCGTATAATTTAAATTTCATATGAGTTGCATAACTACCTATGACACAATTAAACCTCAACCCAATTTTTCAATTATCTTTGGATATTTAACATAATTACCTAAGAGAACCTTGTGGAAAAATATATCTAAACTTTCTTCTATGATTTAAAGCAAGTCTTCCTCAAAGTAACACACCTTGGTACACTCTTGTAAGATGGGATTTTGTACACAGTTTTGGTGGTATACATCTCAATTATGGCACTTTTGAGGCCAAAGAAGGAGGACTGAATTGGAATCCAACCTGGGCTACATAGTAAGGCCTTGGGGAAAGAGAGGTGGGATTTCTCATTTATAAAAAGTCTCTCATTATTTATGGCATTAAAGCATTTGGCAACTAAATTTTCCAAGATTCATTTTTCTAGATAAGTATGTGGGCTATTAGAAGTGTTCAACAAATGGAGGCCACTACTGAGCTTCTTCTGAATTACTAATTGATACTGATGTTGTTTCTTGGGAAATGTAACATGGAAAGAGAAGACATAATGTTTTGAGGTATGTCCACCTTTTCCAGAAATAATAGTCACCATCACAAAGTATGGGGAAGGCTTGGGTATGTTTCACCAATGAAGGAATGAATGAATGAATGAATGAACATGCACACGCGTATGAAATCTAACTCCATCTTGAATAGTTTCGCAGACATCCAGATGATTAACTTGCTAGTAAAAGATGTGCACATGACGGTCCTGTACCCCAGATATTCACCTGTATTATGAAAGCCTAGCTAATTCTTGGCACTCCTTTCAAATCAAGCCTTACTCGGAAATGTCCTCACTGAGAGCTTGAGGGAGTAATAATTCTCTGTCCTCTGTATCTGCAGAGTTCATTCTTCAAAGCCAGTAGTTAAAGAAAACTGATGGCAACAGCATCACACTGTCTCCCTCACTGGATTTCAACTGCTTGAAAAACAAACTGTTTTGTTCTCAACACAGCACAAGTACACAGTAAGTAGTGAAAAAAGGAGTTCAGGCAAGATATGTGGAATTTAAGATTAATTTTACATCCATTATAAATTAATTCTGGTTTCATGAATATTAGAAGTTAGAGTCTGTCAAATACCAATGTCCATTTAAATGACTTGTTAAACAATGATCTCAAATCCTTCTTTAAAGTATCTTGAATGGTCTTGGCTGGTGTGCTACACTAGAATGCAACCTCTCCTTTTTACATCTACCAGTGGAAATAATGTTTTGAAGTCTGTTTATTCAGGTAAGCTTGTAGCTATCAAGACACTTTACATAAAAAATGAGTTCAAGGGAGACAACTGTTGCTTGAATTGTTGCTTCCATGAGAATTTGGATGCTTCACAGCATTCATTAGACTTAAAAACTGGTGATAGTTTTGACTGTAGGTAGAACATGCAAAATACTACAACAATTAAAGATTTTGTAAGATTCAACTTGCTTTGAATGGGATTTCCTTCACTAGAGAGTGAAACCAGACATTTTACACAAGAAGTTTATCATTGTTTCCTTAGGGCACTAGGGATCAAACTCAGAGCCTAAATATGTTGTGCAAACACTGCACCATGAAGGTATGCCAAGTCCCAACTAGGTCGAGCTGCCTGCCTACCTACCTATATAGACCAGGCTGGCCTTGAACTTAATGATTCACCTGCCTCTGCCTCCTAAGTGCTGGGATTAAATGTGTACACTGCCACACATGGCTCCAATTGGACATTTTAAATGGTACAATATGAATGTATTTCATAATGAAAACACCACATTCAAGTTCAATCAGCAAACTCATTTTTAAAGGCCTTGATTAAATGCAAAAGAAATATTTGAATTCAAAATAAACGTAAGCCAGGCATATTTCATTTCTAAAAAGTTTCCCTTCTGAAACAACTTTTTCTGGTATTATCTTATTGCAAGTCACAACTCTCTTTTCAAAAACTGGACAGAGGTGTTGGGGATATACTCAGTTGATAGAGTACGTGTTTGGCATTCACAAGGTCCTGGGTTTCATCCCCAGCACAGCATAAATACACCTGGCAAGGTGGCACATATTATAATTCTAGTACTTAGAAGGTAGAGGCAGGAGGAACAGAGGTCATCCTTAGCTACATGGCAAGTGTGAGGTTAGCCTGGGTTACACGAGAACCCCATCTCAAAACAAAAAAAAACAGCACATAGAAGTTGGAAATGCTCATGAAATACAGATAAAAATAAGCACATAATTTTTAATAATAAAAAATCGGATAAAACATTTTTAATACTTAATTTTGGCATAGAGTGGAAACTCAGAAAATAGAGAAGGGAAGACTTTTCAGTTTGAATTATGAAGTGACCATATATCTAACACCAAACCTTGACAATAACATGGAAATAGAAAATTAAAGTTCACTATCTTCTATGAACAAAGTCATAAAAACTCTTAATACTAACAAATCGAACCCAGGTAATTCATCACGTCAAATAAGAGTTTATCCCAAGTATGTAAGATTAGACTAATATTGGAAAATTAACAATGTAATTAATCATTACAACAAAACAGAGAACACCTGTATGACATGTCAATGGATGTAGAGGATAAAATTCAACATAATATATGATTAAGAAAATCACAGTCTGATAAAGAATATTTAGAAACACCAGCATATTAATAGTGAAATACTGAGTGCTTTCCCTGTAAGATTGAAAAAGGCAAGAATGTACACTTTTACCACTCATGTTAGATACTGCACTCAAGGTCCTAGTCACTGCAATAAGACAAGAAAAGAAATAACTCATATAGAGTTAGAAGAGAAGAAGCAAAACTGTTTGCAGGTGACAGGCATGATAACACTCAAAATGTTAAAGACTATATCAAACCACAATTATAACCAATATGTGAATCTGGCAAGCTTACAAATGCAAGATTAATATATTTAAAACTCAGTTGTATTCTGCGGACTGCAGAGCATATACATCTGAAGTTCCAACTACTTGGAGTGCTGAGGCAAAAGTATTGCTTATTCCAGGAATTTGAGCCCAACTTGGGCAATATAGTAAAAGCTCATCTCAAAGAAAACACTGTATTTTTGTGTGTAACATTAAAAACTGAAATATAAAAAACATTATTTCAAACAAAATCAAATACATGGAAATAAATTTAACAAAAGCCATTGATGTTAAATGAAAATCTTGCATCACTTTTGAGAACATAGAAAATCTAATCTGCAACTTAAGGCACACCATGTTCATTTGTTTTCCACAATTTGTCTATTCTCTTCAGGAGCTCTGCATTCAAGATATTTTTCTTTCTCCCTAGTTTTCAGAAGTTTGGTTTTGATGTGTCTAGGTGTTGATTTCTTAAGTTTGTATTATTTAGGTTTGCTCAGTTTCTTAAATCTATAGCTTTATGTTTTTCAACTAAATGTTGGAAAGCTTTATTTCTTGAAACCATTTTTCAGTCCAACGTTTCTCTCTTCCCCCTTAGTACATATGTATCAGGGTTTTTTGTTGTTGTTATTGTTGTTGTTCTTATTGTTCCACAGGCCTCTGAAGCTTAGTTCATTTTTCAATCTTTTGTCTTGGTTTGATAACACTGGATCATTATCAAACTGTCTTCAGTTCACCAATTATTTTCTCTGTTATCTCCAATCTGCCAATAAGCCCATCCAGTGAATTTTCCATTGTGTGTGTGTGTGTGTGTCTGTGTGGTAACGGGGATTAAGCACAGAATCTAACATACGCCGCCAGGCAAGTGCTCTACCGCTAAGCTTTGTCAGTTTTTGTACTTTTCAGTTCTAAAATGTTCTTGGTCTTTTTTCATCACTAATTTCCAGAGTTTTTGTTAATGTTCATTTTTATGTCAGCTGTTCTCTGTTAATTCCAATATCCGTCATCTTGATGCTATACTAAGTGCCCCTTTTCATTACACTTGAGATTTTATCAGTGATACACTGATAAATATTACGTTGCATTACAATAATCTGGTTCCTATTAAACCCTATTTTAGCAGGTAGTCAACCTATGAGGTTCAGATGTAAGACCCCCATGGCCAAATACCTCCATTCTACCTTATAAACCAATTGAAAGACTTGTACCCTACCCACACTTAATCTATGTTCAAGGATCACAAACAGACATTTTCAGAACTAACAAATACAGCAGTCAGGTTCCTTGTATTTTTCCTGCTACTAATAATCACCAGCATTTTCATTTACCTCTGCCTTTGGCTCAGCTGATTCATTAGAGGTATCAAGTTGTTCCTTGGCCTGGGCCATCTGAGTCATCAGCCTATCCATGTGGGACTGGATGTCTGCCAGTATCTCAGTCACATGAGCCGTGGCCATTGCTTCCTGGATGTCTACTAGATGAAGGGCTTTCTGCTCTTCATCAGCAATCACTTTCTGTACTTTTTTAAATTCTTGCTGTATAAATAACTTCATCTGGTCTCGAGTCACCTGTAAAACACAGAGTATATTGAGCATAACAGAGAAATGGAAAGATGGAGTTTTTGAAATAAAGTATTAGGTAGCCCTGCTCAAAATACAAGAGATAGTTGATATCTCATCCTGAAGTCTTGAAAATATACAATCAACAACATTTCTCCAATACCTTAGATAAAGTTCCTGGTAATCTCTTTACCTTTTTCATTGTTCAGGAATTAGTTCCTTATGCATTTTTGCTTCTGGTTTTGTTCATTTTTATATCAGTCATATACAGCTACTTTTAAAAATTCTAACTGATGGATATATACAATAAGAAGTATAATTTCTAGCCAAGCATGGTAATTCATGCCCTTAATCCCAGCACTCCAGAGGCTGAAGCAGAGGACTGCCAGGAGTTCAAAGCCAGCCCAACTATATAGTGAGTTCCAAGCTAGCTGGGCTACAGCGGACTCTGTCTTCAAAAGAAGAAAAGAAATTCTTTTTCTCTTCTCAATTAATGACAATAATTTGTGCCAGGAACGGTTAACACTCAGGAGGTAAAGGTAGAGAATTAAGGGTTTGAGTCCACACTGGTGTCCACAGTGAGACCCTGTCTTGAAAAGTAAAAACAACAAAAAGTAAAATGCCAGTTCAGTAAGTGTCCTCCCCCATTTTTCCATGTGGTTGCATAACATATATAGATTACAATAAACATATAGTTCTGTCTCCTGTTTTTCCACTTAAAATGTTAGTGAATACAGAGTACCGTTTTGTTTGTAATTTTTTTTACTATCTGCAGTCACAGAGGTATATCCTATTTATTCCTCTCATAATAGAAACACACAATTTCTAAATTCTCACTATTACAAAGAATACAGCAATAAACATCTGAGGAATAATTCTTAATATTCACATATGCGTGTCTTTAAAGATTTATTGTTACTAAGTCAATTTACATATATTCTAAAATTGACCAATATTGCCAAACTTCCCTCTGAAAAAGATGTAGCAATTATACAATGTATGAAAGGAAATATTTCCTTACATTCTCACCAATACTGAATAATATCAAACTTTAAATTTTTTCAATGTAATAAGTAAAAATACATTAACTTTTATTTTGCCACAACTGCAAACCAAATACACACACACGCACACGCACACCCCTGTAGTATATTTAGCTAAAACAAACAGGCAAACAAAGTGAAAAACAATGAAAATAAAAACTTCTAAGCACTCTAAATTTTGCTAGAACCGCATTTATTCATATTTCTTTGCAATCATACTTATTTTATGAGTATTTTTAAAGCTGTATGTTTACTTGTTTTGCTGTGCGATTTTTGCAGTGCTGGGGAATCAAATCAAGAGCCTTACACATGCAAAGCAAGTGCTCTATCATTGAGCCATATCCCCAGTTTTATGAGTATTTTTGAACAACTACAGGTATTATGAGTAGCTGAGATAAAAAAACAGGGAAGAGGAGCTGGGGAGATGACCCATTTGGTAAAGTGTTTGCTGCGCAAGCGTGACGGCCCGAGTTCAGATCCCAAACACACACTGAGAACAGATACAGTGGTGGCACCCACGTAAAAGTTGGGTACAACAGCACACATCTGTAACTCCAGTGCTTGTGGGGGGGATAAGGTTGGCAAATCCCTGAAACTCAGTGGCCAGTCAGTCTTATGGGAGCAGTAAGCTCAAAGTTCAGTGAGGGATCTTGTCTCAAAAATCAGGTGAAGGACTAAGGAAATGGCTCAGTGGTTAAAAGCACTTGTTGCTCTTGCAGAGGACCTGGCTTCAGTTCCCAGCATCCACATGGCAGTTCACAACTACCTATAACTATAGCTCTGAGGGACAGTGCCTCTTCTGGCCTCCATGGGCATTGCATGCATGTGGTGCACATACATATGTACAGGTAAAACATTCACATAAAACAAGATAAAATAATAAAATTAAAAAGTAGGAAAAAAAATAAGGTGGGGCTCAATGGTTAAAGCACCAATCCTGCAAGTGTGAGGACCAGGGTTCAGATTCTCAGAACCCATGTAAATCACGCCCGTAATCCCAGAGCTTAGAAGGCAGAGATAGAGGATCTATCTAGCAAGCTGCCCAGCCAGACTAGCTGTCTCCACAAGTTCTGGGTTCAACTGAGAGACCTTGCCTCAATAAATACAGTGGAGAGTGATAAAGACAGACTCCTCAATATCAACTTTGGGCCTCCACATGCACATACACAGAGAGACACACAGACACACACACCCACACATAAACATGCACATACACAACACAGACATATACACATGAAAACCAGACATTGACCTCTGGACTCTGTGTGCATACACACACACACACACACACACACACACACACACACATAATGAAGAAGAACAATAGACAAAAGGAAGATGGAAGGCTAGGAAAGGATTTGAGATCTGGAAGAACAGGAATTATCAAGGAGAAGTTCTTTTATAGATTAGAAAACAGACACAGAAGCAAACTTACAGGAGAGGAAGTGCCTATAATCTTCTTGTTCAGAGTCTAGCACTCTGTTCATAGAAGTCTATCAGGAAAAAAAAAATCAAACTGGGAAAATGAAAGGAAACTGAGGAAGAGAAAGACTGAAGGAGGGGGAAGGAGACAAGGCCATTTTTAATTAGTCTATTAAAAAACTGAAAAAAGCATGATGCCAGAAGGACGCCTGTAGGTCACATAAACAGCGACCTTTCAAGTGGCAAAATTTCAAATCATCTCTGCAGGTGCTCACCCTGGTGCTGGAGAAAAGAGAAGGAGAAACGTTAAACGATAATGACCCTGAAATCTGTATCAGATTGGGAAGTGGAATTTATGTTTGTATAAAACTCTTTTCTGTTTTAATGTATGTATGTCAAGCTGCTATGCTTCATGGTGATCCTTTATCAATGCATCTCTACTGTTAAATTAGGTGCTAAATGATCTAGAAGGTTCTCTCAGAAACCGAATCTGGAAATGTTCACTAAAGGATAAAATCTTCTGACTGTCTGAGACTCTCTAAATATTTTAACACTTCCAAGGGACTAAAAATAGCAATTATGATATAAACTGCAGTCTATTTTTCTAGAGCTCACATACACATATGGTTCAAAGTTAGGAAGATGACATCAACATCAGGAAAATTGTAGACCAGGAAGGAAATGAATTGATCCTGGGCTTTAAAAATTAAACTCCTCATTTCCTAATGCTTTACATAGTACTTCAAGATACTTTATCTTATATAAAGGAGGCCAATAACGAGAAGGGAAAGCAGAATAATCTCATCTAAACTTTTATGCAGTCTTCCTACTCCCATCTATCCTAATTAACAAATACATTCTTCAACCTAGTTCGAAACTCCTGCATCAAGGTATTCATTTTATTCCAGAACCTAAGGAATTAAAGTCTCCCTTGCAAGACTAAGGATGCAGAAGGTTGGGTATGGTGATCTGAATGAAAAATGTTGTCCATGGGCTCAAATATTTGAACACTTGTTCCCTAGCTGTTTGGGGAGATCATAGAATCTTTAGGATGTGTAGCCTTGCTGGGAAGAAGTAAATCACTGGGAGTAGCTTTTGAGAGTTCAGGGCTTTGCCTCATTGCCAGTTAGCTCCTTCTGCTTTGTGTTTGCCACTGAAGATGTGCTCTCTCAGCTTCCTGCTCCTGCTGCCATGCCTGTCGACTGCTGCCATACCTGCCTGCCATGATGGACTTTAATCTCTCTGGAATAGTAAGTACAAAAATTCTTCTGTAAGTAAGCCGCTTTTGGTCATGGTGTTTTGTCACACTAACAAATAATAATATAGTGAGTTTTCTGGACAAGGACCTGTTATACAAGATCCTAAAGTAGATGTTCTCCTGAGTGTGTTGTGATGATGTGTATTTCTCACTGATGAGCAAAAGTAAGTGATTTCACACTTCAAGTCACTTGCAGGATCAGGCCGATGTTTATCAAAAGTTTTTCAGAAACTAAATCCTACTCTGTTAAGGACACCACACCAGGATAACTGACACCCATAAAGATCCTCCAACTAAGAAAACAATGTGTGCTAAACAGGATGGCATCATGAGTAACAATGAAATCAATTAGATCTATCATGTTCAGGCAGTATTCTAGATACCATCCTATGCGTGTTTCTTATTTAATGCTCAGGTGGGCAACAAGGGTTTCATTTTACATTAGAGGAACCCAAAGCTGCAGTGATTACATCATTCATCAAGTGTTATGCAGCAGGTAAACAGTAAGGCCAAAGATTCAGCTCAGGTCACCCCTGTTCCAAAGAGAGTGCTCTGACAACTACTCCATGTGGGATCCTGCCTGTTTAAAGAAACTGGGCCTCCGAGAACTAGGATTAGAGTGTTGGGAAGCAATCCAGTACAGAGGAAAGCACTCAGGATGTAAAGTCAAAGACTGAATGTTAGCTAACCTTGACTTGTGCAATCGACCAGCAAGGTGACTCTGAGTAAATCACTGAACATTTTAAGGCCTCATTTTTATTATAAAAAAATGAAAAGTCAAATTTGGCTTTCTTTTATTTCTAAAATGAGAGAGCTGCATAAACTGAAGCATAATTCATCAATCTAGATGTCTCTCATCACATTTGATACCCCAAACAAGAAGCCATCCTCTTCAGGAGACTGGAGTCTAAATCAGAAGTTTTGGTGGCAAGGCAAAAATAAATGAAGCAAAACATAGAATAACCTTTTCCTATGATAATGCTACCCTATCAAGTAATAGTCCTCTCTCCTACCTTTAGCCAAACGTTTGTCAAGTCATTCACATCTGCTGCCCTTTCTCCTCCACCATTAAGGAGAACATCAGTCACCACTTCCATATCACTTCACTTTGGAAATTGCCTAGAGCATTAGCACTGATGCCCTGTAGTCTAAATTCTCTCCTCCATGAATGCTGGACTTCCCCAGCTCCCTGGTTACCAACTTCCCTGCAATTTTCTATATTCTTCCCAGGTACAGTGATTGGCAGTTTTTCATCCCTGGCACAGTTGACATTTGAAGCTGATAAT